CTCTGCATCTATTGAGGTAATCATGGTCTTTGTCTTGGTTTCTGTTTATGTGGTGAATTACATTTATAGAGTTGCATATGTTGAACCAGACTTGCATCCTGAGGATGAAGCCTACTTGATTGTGATGGATAAGCTTTTTGATATGCTGTTGAGATTGGTTTGTGAGTATTTTATTGAAAATTTTTGCATCTATGTTCATCATGGATATTGGCCTGAAGTTTTCTTTTCTTGCTGAGTCTCTGCCGGGTTTTGGTGTCAGGATGATGTTGGTTTCATAAAATGATTCTCTCTTTTTGGATTGTTTGGAATAGTTTCAGAAGGAGTGGTACCAGCTCCTCTTTGTATGTCTGGTAGAATTCAGCTGTGAACCCTTCTGTACTTGGGCTTCTTTTGGTTGGTAGGCTATTAATTCCTGCCTCCACTTCAGCCCTTCTTATTGGTATATTTAGGGTTTCAACTTCTTCCAGGTTTAGGCTTGGGAGGGTGCAAGTGTCCAGGAATTTACCCATTTCTTCCAGGCTTACTGGTTTATGTGCATAGAGTTGTTTGTAGTAATCACTGATGGTGGTTTGTATTTCTGTGGAATCTGTGGGGATATTCCCTTTATAGTTTTTTTATTGTATCTGTTTGATTCTTCTTTCTTTTCTTTTTTTATTAATCTGGCTAGTGGTCTGTCTATTTTGTTGATATTTTCAAAAAAACCAGTTCCTGGATTTACTGATTTTTTGAAGTTTTTTTGTGTCTCTATCTCCTTCAGTTCTGCTTTGATCTTAGTTATTTCTTGTCTTCTGCTAGGTTTTGAGTTTTTTTGATCTTGCTCCTCTAGCTCTTTCAATTTTGATGATAGGATGTCAATTTTAGATTTTCCTTGCTTCTCATATGGGCATTTATTGCTAAAAATTTTCCACTAGACACCGATTTAAATGTGTCTCAGAGATTCTGGTACATTGTGTCTTCGTTCTCATTTGGTTTCAAAGAACATCTTTTTTGTGCCTTCATTTCATTATTTATCCAGTCAACATTCAAGAGCCACTTGTTCAGATTTCGTGAAGTTGTGTGGTTCTAAGTTAGTTTCTGAATTCTGAGTTCTAACTTGATTGCACTATGGTCTGAGAGACGGTTTGTTATGATTTCCATTCTTTTGCATTTGCTGAGGAGTGATTTATTTCCAATTATGTGGTCAATTTTAGAGTAGGTGTGATGTGGTGCTGAAAAGGATGTATATTCTGTGGATTTGGGGTGAAGAGTTCTGTAAATGTCTATTAGGTTTGCTTGGTCCAGGTCTCAGTTCAAGTCCTGGATATCTTTGTTGATTTTCTGTCTTGCTGATCTGTCTAATATTGACAGTGGAATGTTAACATCTCCCACTATTATTGTGTGGGAGTCTAAGTCTCTTTGTAGGTCATTAAGAACTTGCTTTATGTATCTGGGTATTCCTATATTGGGTGCATATAAATTTAGGATCATTAGCTCTTCTTGTTGCATTGATCATTTTACTATTATATAATGCCCTTCTTTATCTCTTTTGTCATTGTTGGTTTAAAGTCTATTTTATCAGAGACTAGGATTGTAACTCCTGCTATTTTTTGCTCTTCATTTGCTTGGTAAATCTTCCTCTATCCCTATATTTTGAGCTTATGTTTATCCTTGCATGTGAGATAGGTTTTCTGAATACAGCACACCAATGGGTTTTGACTTTTTATCTACTTTGCCAATCTGTGTCTTTTGATTGAGGCATTTAGCCCATTTATATTTAAGGTTAGTATTGTTATGTGGAAATTTGATCCTGCCATTTTGATGCTAGCTGGTTGTTTTGCCCATTAGTTGACACAGTTTCTTCATTGTGTTGATGTTACTTACCACTTGGTATGTTTTTGGAGTGGCTGGTACTGGTTGTTCCTTTCTATGTTTAGTGCTTCTTTTAGGAGCTCTTGTAAAGCAGGCCTGGTGGAGATGAAATCTCTGAGCAATTGCTTGTTTGTAAAGGATTTTATTTCTATAGATCTGCTGTGGGTCTGATGGGCTTTCCTTTGTGGGTAACCCAACCTTTCTTTCTGGCTGCCCTTTGCATTTTTTCCTTCATGTCAACCCTGGTGAATCTGATAATTATGTGCCTTGGAGTTGCTCTTGAGGAATATCTTTGTAGTGTTCTCTGTATTTCCAGGACTTGAATATTGGCCTGCCTTGCTAGGTTGGGGAAGTTCTCCTGGATAATATCCTGAAGAGTGTTTTCTAGCTTGGATTCATTCTCTCCATCACATTCAGGTACACCTATCAAATGTAGATTAGGTCTTATCCCATAATCCCATATTTCTTGGAGGTTTTGTTAATTTCTTTTTTTTTTTTACTCTTTTTTGTCTAATCTTGGCTTCTCGTTTTATTTCATTGAGTTTATCTTCATCTCTGATATTCTTTCTTCTGCTTGGTCAATTCAGCTATTAAAACTCGTGTATGCTTCATGAAGTTCTCATGTTGTATTTTTCAGCTCCATCAATTAATTTATATTCCTCTCTAAGATGTTTATTCTCATTAGCATTTTGTCAAACCTTTTTTGAAGGTTCTTAGTTTCTTTGCATTGGGTTAGAACATGTTCTTTTAGCTCAGAGAAGTTTGTTATTACCCACCTTCTGAAGCCTGTTTCTGTCAATTCATCAGACTTATTCTCCATCCAGCCTTGTTCCCTTGCTGGTAAGGAGGGATCCCTTGCTGTGATCCCTTGGAGGAAGGAAGAGAGGCATTCTGGTTTGGGTGTTTTCATCCTTTTTGTGCTGGTTTCTTTCCATATTTGCGGATTTATCTATCTGTTGTCTTTGTAGTTGGTGGCTTTCAGATGGCGTGTCTGGACGTCCTTGTTGTTGAAGATGAAATTATTTCTTTCCATTTCTTAGTTTTCCTTTTTACAGTCAGACCCCTCTGCTGTAGGACTGCTGAGGTCCACTCAAAGTCCTGCTTGCCTGGGGATCACCTGCAGTGGCTGCAGAACAGTAAGAGTAGCTGCCAGTTTCTTCTTCTGTTAACTTTATCCCAGAAGGATACCTGCCAGATGTCAGCCTGAGCTCTCCTTTATGTGGTGTCTCTGGACATATAGGGGTCAGGGAGCTGCTTGATTAGACAGTCTTTCCTTTAAAGGAGCTGAAGTGCTGAGCTGTGAGCTCTGTTGCTCCAATCAGAGCTGCTGGGCAGGTACATTTAAGTCTGCTGCAGCGGAACTCATAACCACCTTTTTTTCCCAGGTGCTCTGTGCCAGGAAGGCGGGGCTTTATTTATAAGTTCCTGTCATGCTTCTGCCTTTTTCCAGAGCTGCCCTGTCCAGTGAGGAGGTAGCCTATTCACAGTCTGTCAGCAGAGGTGTTGCTGAGCTGCTGTGGGCTCTGCCTAGCTACTATGTGAACTTCCTAAGAGTTTTGTTTATAGGAGTATAGTTAGAACTTCCTCATTAATGGCAGTCTGCCTTAGTAATGGTGGACTGTTTTTGTAATGGTGGACTGCCTCAGTAATGTCGGACACCCTTCCCCCTACAGAGCTAGACTATCCCAGGTCCAGCTGTGCTTGCTGTGAAACTCAGTACCGAGCATTTCAGATTGCTGGTCTTTGTTGGGGTGGGACCAGCTGAGCCAGATCACCTGGGTTCCTGTTTCTGTCCCCGTTTTTTTTCAGTTGAACAGGTGATCTGTCTCCCAGGCATTCCAGTTACCAGTTGAAATGGCGCACAGATTTGTGTGCGTTTTTGTGCAGAGACCTGCTGTGCCAGCTGAAACAGCCATGCTGGAGACTCATGGTACTTTTTCACTTGGGAATCTCCTGGCCTGTAGGAAGTAAATATTCATTTGGAAATGTGGTGATCAGTCACCCTCTGTGTTTTTGCTGGGAACTGCAATCCAGAACTGTTCCTATTTGGCCATCTTGGATTGTCCCCTCTCCCATATGAATTTTACTTTATTTTATTTTATTTTATTTTTTTGAGACAGAGTTTCGCTCTTGTTGGCCAGGCTGGAGTGAAATGGCACAATCTCGGCTCATTGCAACCTCTGCCTCCTGGGTTCAGGCAATTCTCCTGCCTCAGCCTCCTGAGTAGCTGGGATTACAGGCATGCGCCACCATGCCCAGCTAATTTTTTTTATTTTTAGTAGAGACAAGGTTTCACCATGTTGACCAGGATGGTCTCGATCTGTTGACCTCGTGATCCACCCGCCTCGGCCTCCAAAAGTGCTGGGATTACAGGCTTGAGCCACCACGCCCAGCCCCATATGAATTTTAAAGTAGATTTTTCCAGTTCTGTAAAGAAAGTCAATAGTAGGTTGATGGGGATAGCATTGAATTTATAAATCACTTTGGTCAATATGACCATTTTCATCATAGGTTTCAACATATAAATTTTGGAACAGACATAAACATTCAAATTATGGCACCTAATTTTGCAGGATTTGTTTTTAGAATTTTTGTTTGTCTTAGTTTCAGTTTTATTGTCATATGGGGTCTCTGAAGACTCTCCAAGGGAACTACCTCCTTAGGAAGATTTTTGGGGTTTAGAGTTGATATTGAATTACACTTTATTCCTCTTAGTTCTATTATATCAGATTAGTAAAGTTCATTCCAACTAGATAAATCACATTTTCAGAAGTTGAGAGGGAAAGTTCTAAAGATTAGTTAGCTAACATTTTGTATTATGATATATAAATTTTTCAATCCTCAATTTGTGCATATAAATCCAGACTATAGCAGGATATCTGAGATATTTTAGGAGCTTAGTAATATTTGTTGACTTGTCATTAGATATTTTCACCATGTTCAACATGTTATCTTTACTGGTCAGAGTAGGAGATACTCTGTCTGTAATAATCTGGGAAGTTCGTATCAAAAAGTCATAATATACAAAAAAATACAATAAATACTTGGGCTTTTCTGTTATGTATCCCTGGTCAAAAGTGCTAAGAGAATTTCTTAGCCTGATTTTCCCAGAAAGAAGAGCCCAAACAGACTAATGTGCTCTTATTTTATAGGAAAGACAATTCCAGGGAGTTAAAGTGAAGAAAAACAACAACAAAATAATTCAAGTGAAGAGGTGGAGCCCAAATAGGGCTGTGGTATTGAGCTGACTCTAGTGTTACACTACGAAAATGCCTGTAACTGTATCTCTGGACCATCCCGGAGAGGAAAGGTAATATGTTTTGGCTTTGTGTCCCTAACCAATCTCATCTTGAACTGTAATAATCCCCACATGTCAAGGGTGGGGCCAGGTGGAGATAATTGAGTTACGGGAGTAGTTTCTCCCCTATTGTTCTTATGGTGGTGAATAAGTCTCATGAGATCTGATAGTTTCATAAATGGGAGTTCCCTTGCCTAAGCTCTCTTGCCTGTTGTCATATAAGACATATCTTGCTCCCCCTTCACCCTCTGCCATGATTGTGAGGTCTCCCCAGCCATGCAGAATTGAGAGTCCATTAAACCTTTATTCTTTATAAATTACCTAGTCTCATTTATGCCTTTATTGGCAGCATGAGAACAGACTAATACAGGAGGCAAAAAAGCAGAAGTAATTGATCTACTGGGCATTCTAAGCAATTGGTAAATTTTACCCTATGATGTAATAATCCCCCATACCACCAGGTTGTGCATGCTGGGCATAGGAGCTGAAGAGAGCCCTGTGGTATCACCAGCAAGGCAGCCCTTGGGCGGGAAGCCAGAGGGGAAGAAAAGGGACTGAAGATGAAGCAACATCCAGTTACATCTGTGTGAATTTGGTCTGAACACATGGAAACCTGGAAGAGAGATGTTAAAATGGCCTGAAAAACAGGATAATTTGTGTTGGATGCAAAGGTCTTTATTTCTTTCTGCCAGCATGATCTAAATATATCCTAATACCTCATGGGCTTAGTCTCTGCACTGCAGATGTCTTTTTTCTTATTGAGATTATTTCCCTATTGTAGATTGCTGGTGAAATTTCTGCTGCCAAATGACGATGCATGGGGAACGTTCTAAGATGGGTGAAGAGCCTTATGGGCCATGTCTGTAGAGGGAAGAGTGTAAGAACATTCTTGGAAACACAGTTCTTCTCTCCTTTGACTGCTTTCTTAGGAGTACTCTTTAAGGAGAATTTCTGCCTCGTTACAAGGAGATCTCACATATGTGAGGGCTGTGTATTACACACTTGAGAGTGGCTAAGAACAGCTGGCCATATAGCTGCCAACATTACAACTGACAGAAAGAGGATGCTCTGAATCAATGCCCTAGTGAGGATGTGCAGAATTCTCTGAGGGGGATAAAAACACATTGAAAATAATGTTAAGAAAGAAGCCTTTGCTCACAAGACAGTACTTATTTCAAATTTCTTGAAAAATTCTCAGACTGCAGTCATAAATATTACTCTACTTAAAATACACTGCTATATGAGTTATTTCATTTGTAAAAAGAAAAAAATGTATAACAGAAAATATAAACAAATAAGTTCGTGTGTACTTACTTAAATTTTATCCCAGGACTAGAATCAAGGCAGATCTTTTTTCTTTCTGGTGGAGGCAGTTCTTTATCATGAAAGGTATAAATACATTTTCTCAGAAAAATACACTTTCCACATGAACTCTGCAGAGATGGCTGCACATACACAGGTTTGCAAGAAATGTCAGACCCTTGAAGTTTCCCTCTTTAATAAATGCAGAATGAAAGGATAATTTGACATAGTTTCTTATGAAACTGGTAATAAGAATTAACTTTAAGCAAACCCATTTCCCCAATAGAATTGCATGCTTACTTTCTAACAAATTAGATAAATTGTATATGGAACTATCTTTTTTAAAAATTTTTGGGCAATTGTAAAATTTTCAAAGTAATTTTTCTGTTTATGAACAAACCAATCTAAGTTCAAAGAAAAACCTCAAAATATGAGAAATTCAGGAAGGATAGGTTATATGTTGAAAGTATAGTAGAGCTGAGAATTTCCCAATATGGAGACAAAAAAGCTATAGGGAGATATGACAGCTTCTGAAAATGTTAAGGAATGTTATCAGGAGGACAGGGACCAATTCTCCTTAGTCAATGAGAACAGAAAAGGAAGTAATGAACTTTAACTATAGCATGAAAATTTAAGTGAAATATAAAAAAACTTTTAAACCATCAGAACAATTAAGCAAAGGTACAAATAATAAATTCACCCTTACTAATCATATTCAAAGTAGCACTTGATACTCATCCATTAGGGATAAGTTAGAAATAATAAAACCAATTTTACCAACATTCTGGGAGTAGATTAAATGATTTAAGAGGGAATACTTCTCAAAATCCTCACAATGTTCTAAAAAATAGACTCTGAAAAAGATTAGCTTTTAAAATATATAGGAGGAAAAAAATATCAATTCTACAAAGAGTTGTTAGTTTTCTACCATATACAAAACTCAAACTTAGTCTCTCTGGAGGAAATGAAAATACATTCTAAATGACTCAAGACCTCAAGTCACTTATTTGCTAGCAAAGTTGTGCTCCAGTTTCTATTTTATTACATATTGTGATTACTAAAAATATTTTGAGCACTCAATCCTAAGAAAAGTACATTTGTTTATTCATAAAATGTAAAATGTATTATGTATATTATAACGTTAATGTGATATAAATTTTAAAAGATGAGATAAGCTAAATCTTTAATTAAAATTTTTTTTATTTTTATGGATACTTAAAGCTTATACATACATATGGGTACATGGGATATTGTGATACAAGCATACAGTATGTAATGATCAAATCAGAATACTTGGGATATCCGTCACCTCAAGCATTTATCATTTCTTTGTGTTAGGAAGATTCCAATTTGACTTATTTATTTAAAATATAAAATAAAGTATTATTAACTATGGTCTCCCTATTGTGCTTTTTATCCCTCTTCTCCCCACCACCCTTCCCAGCCTCTGATGAGCATCATTTTACTCTCTTTCCATGAGTTAATTTCTTAATGTCCTATATATGAATTAGTATATGCAATATGTATCGTTCTCTGCCTGGTTCATTTCACTTAACATGATGCCCTCCAGTTCTATCCATACTGTTACAAATGACAGGACTTTATTCTTTTTTTATGGCTGAATAATGTTTTATTGTGTATATGTACCACATTTTCTTTATCCATTTATCTTTTGATGAACACTTATGTTGACTCCATATCTTGGCTATTGTGAATAGTGCTGCAATAAACATGAGAGTACAAACATCTCTTCCATATACTGATTTCTATTCTTTTGGATATATCCCAAGTGGTGGGATTGCTGGATCATATGGATGCTCTATTTTTAGTTTTGTGAGAAACCTCCATACTGTTCTCCATTGTGGTTATACTAATTTACATTCCCACAAACAGTATATGAGAGTTCCCCTTTCTCCATATCCTTGCTGGCATCTGTTATCGCCTGTCCTTTTGATAAAAACCATTTAAACTGAAGTGAAATTATATCTCATTGTTTTCATTCACATTCCTCTGATGATTAATGATGTTGAGCATTTTTCATATTCCCATTGGCCACTTGTATGTCTTCTTTTGAGAAGTTCAAATTTTTTCATTTGAAATATTTTTAAATTTTAAGTTCAGACCTTTTGCCCATTTTTTTTGTTTTCATTTCTTTTTATTAGAGAACATATTCAAAAGAAGTGAGAATAGTGTAGTAAAGCTTTATGCACCCATCACCAGTTTCCACAATAATCAATGTTTAGCCTCTTTTTTTGGGTGGGAATAATAATGTAATAAAATTATTATATATTAATAGCATAATTATATATAATTTAGTTATTAAAGTAATAATTATATAAAGTTATGCATTGTATTGTTATAGAGTATATAATATGTAATAATGTAATACATAATTTATAAAACAATTATATATACTATACAATATAATAATCTTATTGGGAAGGAGTTTTTTCTTTATTTTAATAGATTTTTGGAGAACAGGTGGTTTTTTGTTATATGGATAGGTTCTTCAGTGTTGATTTCTGAGATTTTCGTCCACCCATCACTTGAGCAGTGTACACTGTACCCAGGTGTACTCTTTCATCCCTCACCCACTCCCACCTTCCCCGTGAATTATCAAAGTTCATTGCATCATTCTTATATTTTTGTGTCTTCATAGCTTAACTTCCACTTATGAATGAGAACATATAAAGTTTGATTGATTTTTCATTCCTGAGTTACTTCACTTAGAATAATGATCTCCAACTCCATCTGGGCTGCTGTGAATGACATTATTTTATTCTTTTTTATGCCTGAGTAGTATTCTATGGTGTATATATTATATATATCACATTTTCTTTATCCACTCATTGATTGATGGACATTTGGGCTGGATCTATATTTTCACAATTACAAATTGTTCTGCTATAAACATGCATGTACAAGTGTCTTTTTCATATAATGACTTCCTTTCTTCTAGGTAGATACCCAGTAGTGGGATTGGTGGATCAAATGATAGATTCACTTTTAGTTCTTTAGGAAATCTCCATATTGTTTTCCATAGTGGTTATGCTACTTTACATTCCTACCAGTATTGTAAAAGTGTTCCCTTTTCATCACATCCACACCAACATCTATTATTTCTTGATTTTTAAATTATGACCTTTTTTGCAGAAATAAGGTGATATTGCATTGTGGCTTTGACTTGCATTTCTCTGAAAATTAGTGATATGGAGTGTTTTTTCATGTGTTTCTTGGCCATCTGTGTATCTTCTTTTGAGAATCTGTATGCATGTCCTTAGCCCACTTTTTGATGGGATTGTTTTGTTCTTGCTGATTTGTATTTCTTGTAAATTCTGGATATTAGTCCTTTGTTGGAGGCATAGTTTACAAAGATTTCCTCCCACTCTGTGGGTTGTCTGTTTGCTGATTATTTATTTTGCTATGCAGAAGCTTTTATAGTTTAATAAATTCTCATTTATTTATCTCTGTTTTTGTTGCATTTACTTTTGGGTTCTTGGTCAGGAAGTCTTTGCTTAAGCCAATATCTAGAAGGGGTTTGTTCTATGTTATCTTCCACAGTTTTTATGGTTTTGGGTCTTAGATTTAAGACTTTGATTCATCTGGAATTGATTTTTATATAAGGTGAGAGATGAGATCCAGTTTCATTCTTCCACATGTGACTTGCCAATTATCTCAGCCTTTTGTCCATTTTAAAAATCAAATTAAGGCCTGGTGCAGTGGCTCATGTCTGTAATTCTAGCACTTTGGGAGGCCAAGCCAGGTGGATCACTTGAGGTCAGGAGTTCAAGACTGGCCTGGCCAACATGGTGAAACCTCGTATGTACTAAAAATACAAAAATCAGCCTAGCATGATGGCGGGCACCTGTAATCCCAGCTACTACAGAGGCTGAGGGAGGAGTGCTTGAATCCTGGGAGTGGAGGTTTCAGTGAGCTAAGATTGTGCCACTTTACTCCAGCCCGGGCATAAGAACAAAACTGCATCTTGGAAAAACACGAAACAAAACAACAACAAAAATAAAATTATATGTTTTTTTCCTAATGAATTGTTTAAGCCCCTTCTGATTATTAACCCTTGTCACATGGGTAGTTTGCAAATATTTTCTTCCATGAGTTTTTTCTTTACTGTGTTGATTTTCTTTTCCTGTGTAGAAGTTTTGTTGTTATCCCATTTTTATACTTTTGCTTTGGTTGCCTGTGCATTTGAGGTCTCACTCAAGAAATCTGTGGCTAGACTAACGTTCTGGAACATTTCCCCAATGTTTTGTTCTAGTAGTTTTATAGTTTCAGGTCTTAGATTTTAATCTTTAATCCATTTTTATTTGATTTTTTATATAGTAAGAGATGAGTGTCTCATTTTCTTTTTTCTGCATATGAATATCCAGTTTTCCCAGAACCATTTATTGAAGAGACTCTTTCCCCAATCTATGTCCTTCATGCCTTTGCTGAAAACGAGTTGATTGTAAATGTGTGAACTCATTTCTGGGTTCTCTAGCTTCTTCTTTTGGTCTCTGTGTGTGCTTGTATGCCAGTACCATGCTATTTTGCTTTCATTTAGCATGAGATTCTTAGCATAATTTGAAGTCAGGTAATATAATGTCTCCAGCTTCCCTCCCCACTCCCCCAGGATTGTTTTGCCTATTCAGGCTCTTTTTTTGGATCCATATGAATTTTCATATTATTTTTTCTATTTCTGTGAAGAATTTTGTTGGTATTTCGATGGGGATTGCATTGAATATGTAAATCACTTTGGGAAGTATGAACATTTAAAAAACATTGATTCTTTTGATCCATGAACATAGAATATTTTTAAATTTTTGTGTGCTCTCTTCACTTTTTTAATGAATATTTTCATTATAAAGTTCTTTTGCTTCTTTGGTAAGTTTATTTTTAGGTATTTTATTTCATTTGTAGCTATCATTAATGGAATTACTTTCTTGCTTTCATTTTCAGATTGTTTGCTGTTGGCATGAAGAAATGCTACTGGTTTTTGTATGTTGATTTTGTATCCTGTGGCTTTAATAAATTTGTTTTCTAATAGTTTTTCAGTAGCCTCTTCAATTTTTCTAAATGTAAGATTACATTTCCTGCAAACGAGTAATTTGAATTCTTCTTTTCCAATTCGGATGACATTTCTTTCTTTCTCTTGTTTAATTGTTCTAGCTAGGATATCCAGTGCTGTGTTGAATAAAAGTTGTAAAGTGGGCATCTTTGCTTTACTCTAGATCTTAGAGGAAAGGCTTTCAGTTTTTCCTCATTCACTATGATACTAATTTTATTGGATACAGCCTTTACTGTGTTGAGGTATGTTTCTTTAGTACTCAACATGTTGAGAATTTTTATCATGAAGGATGCTGAATTTTATCAAATGCTTTTAGAGCATCTATTGAAATGATTATGTGCTTTGTCTTTCATTCTGTTGATGTGATATATCACTTTTATTGATTTCCATGTGTTGAGTCATTCTTGCATCCCAAGGAAAAATCCCACTTGGTCACAGTGAAAGATCTTTTTAATGTGTTGTTGAATGCAGTGTATTTTGTTGAGGATTTTTGCATCTATGTTAGTCAGAGATATTGATCTGTAGTTTTCCATGTTTGTCATGTCCTTTTCTGGTTTTGGTTATCAGAGTAATGCTTATCTCATTGAATGAGTTTGGAAGTACTGCCTTCTTATTTATTTATTTATTTATTTATTTTTGAATGATTTGAGTAGGATTGGTATTAGTTCTTCTTTAAACGTTTGGTAGAATTCAGCAGTAGAGCCATCAGGTCTTGGGGTTTTCTTTGATAGGAGACTTTTTATTATTCCTTCTATGTCATTACTTGTTATTGATTTATCCGAGTTTTCTATTTCTTTATGGTTTAATCTTGGTAGCTTGTACGTGTCTAGGATTTTATCCATTTTTTCTAGGTATTTGACATGTAGTTATTCATAATAATCTGTAATTATCTTTTGAAATTATGTGGTATCGGTCATAATGTCTCCTTTTTCATCTCTGATATTTATTTGTATCTTCTCTCTTTTTTTCTTAGTTTGTCTGGCTGAGGGTTTGTTACTTTTGTTTATCTTTTCAAAAAATTTTTATCTTTTATATTGGTTTAGTCTCAATTTCATTTATTTATACTCTGAGACTTATTATTTCTTTTATTCTACTAATTTAGTGTTTGATTTGCTCTTACTTTTCTAGTTCTTTACGATGCATTTTTAGGTATTTTATTTGATGTCTTTATACGTTTTTTGATGTAGGTGATTATTTCTATAAACTTTCCTCTCAGCACTACTTTTGCAGTATCCTGTAAGTTTTGATATATTGTTTCTAGTTTAATTTGTTTCAATAATATTTTAGATTTTCTTCCTAATTTCTTCACTGATCCAATGGTCATTCATAAGTATATTGCTTACTCTCCATGCATTTGTATAGTTTAAGGCTCCTCTTGTTATTCATTTCTAATGATATCAAGAATTTCTTACCATAATGGTGGTCAGAAATTGTGGTCAGAAGTACTTGATATTATTACTATATTTTTGAATTTGGTGAGACTTGTTTTATGGCTGAACATATGGTCTGTTCTGGAGAATGTTCCACGTGTTGAAGAGAATAATGTGTATTCTCCAGCTGTTGGATAGAAT